CGTAAATGTCGGTTGACAGTGAAAAATCAAACAGCGGCTCAGCGCTCGTTGATCGGGCGACGATTGGCCGACTTATAAATATTCAAACTTTTAAAGTTATCGCCAAAGAATTAATAATGTGACTGTTTCGCGTCACCCGATATTAGTGTCGGCCGATCATTTTTTTTCGCTGACGATACGAGAAAAAATTGGTAGCCTGATCATCGGCTTAAATGTGACGCAGGTATAAGAGAGATAAATCTAAATTAAGAAAGAACATGAACAAAATATAGGTTAGGGAAGTTGACGTCCGTAGAGACCTGCTGCGGAAATGGACACAGACAGGCACGGAAATCTTTCTCAATTCTTTAAAAAAAATGCATTCGGTTTGATGAAAAGATGTTCAAAATGGCATGGTTTATCTGCACTTAATTTTTACACTTGTATCCAGTTTTCCCCATCACGGTATAATATTACATGATATTGTATGTTGGACAGCAAAGAGCAAGGTCAAAAAGTGGCACCATCTCAAAAATTAACGGAATTTTGATTATAGATAATGTAGACTCTTAACCTCTTACAGCCGTTTTTCTCCTTTCGATATCTGTTATAGTTTTTTAATATGGTATTTTGCAGTATAGTTTTCGATGCATTTGTAACAAAAATACGTCGATTTCGACACCTGACATATGGAACGGGTTCCTTCATTAAGAAAGAAAAGAGTTTTCGTCCTTAGTTGATTAATTATGTAAAGAATAAACTTAAACTTGATAACCCTCAATTTGAGTTTTTTAAAGAAAATCATTTAAAAGAAAACATGCTAAATCCACTTTCAGCTAAAGCTGAAAATAAATAATGCTCTTCAGGGGCAGATCCAGGAAATTTGGTTGAAGGATGAATTCTTTTTTCAGAGGTAGGGGGTCTGGGGCCGCCTTAATGTCCCCAATGGATCCAGAATTTCCAGAAGCTCCTGAAGATTTGTGATTTTAGAAGTAAATTTTAATCTTTTAACCAGCCTTTATAGTTGTAGTTACACTCCTTACTGTAAACATAAACACATTTTAGTATCAATGATCAACAAATACTGATGTTGTCATATTTTACTTTCCCAATCTTCAAATTGCCTTCGTCAGCAAGAGAAAGAGCATTTTTTAAAAGAATTTCGAATACAAGTAAATCGACATCTTTAGTATCCACTCTTCTTGTTTTTCTTTATGCGTACGCTCAATTAATAGATCAAAGTTTCGACATCAGCAAATACTGCGTGAACAGACGTAACTGACACATTCCCATCATAGATTGACGAATGAAATGTACACATCAATGGTTAATTTAAGTATTTCTTAAAAAAAATGTTTTCATCTATATTCTATAATACTCTGTACACTAGAGACAAAGCGAGCAATTATTGTGTTTAATTCAAATGAAGTGTTACGAATCTTTCCAAGTTTGCCTGAACCTAGTAATAAACAAGAGGCCCATGGGCCTTAAAGGTCACCAGATTATTAAGAATTTTTCAGGCTTTGACCACTCTGGAACTAGCTATGACATATAATTTTTTTTACAGTTTGATGAGAACTTTTTGTTATCATATTTATGCAGCTTGCCCCTTTAAATTCATGAGTAAATGAAATGAAGAACATTGTGTAATAAAGGACAAGATAGGCTAAGACCCCTTTTTGGCCCTTGATTTGTGGTTTCTCCAGGTTCGAGCGATGCAATAGTACATCATTAGTATTGTTGTCATGTTGTCATGCCTCTTAGAAAATGAGCATTGATTCTAAGTTATTGGGTACACAAAGGTCACAGGAATGTCACAAAATATGCCAATTTCCGAATTTTCTCATTTTTATGCACATTTTTATCAATTTTATAGCACATTTTGTTTCAGAAAACACAGAGCACAAGCTTGCCTATCTACCAAATTTATATATTTCATGCACTAGTATCAGATGCTTCTTGTGTATAAAACTCTTAGATAGGCAAGTCTGTGCTCTATGTTTCCCAGAGTGAAAAGTATCAAATTTAACAAAATTCCATCAAAATTGAGAAAATTCGGAAAAATTTTCAACTTTGGCACCCTCTTGTGGCCTCCCTGTACTCTTTAAATCAAAATTATTGTTAGTTTTAAAACAAGAAACATTTAAAGACCTTAACTGCAAACTATCACAATTTTAACTGTGTTTTGATTTTTACATCAAATAAGGGGCCAAATTGGCTGTTACCGTACCTTGTCCTTTATTACATATGACACCCTCATGCAAACAATTTTAAAAGATCTTTTCCCTTTTTCTTCATCGATCTCCAATTGGAGCCCCACCCCAAAGGACCATGACTGAAACAAATTTGAAGCTGCATTAGCCGAGGACGCTGGCATATCATGACCCTGCTATTCTCAAGAAGAATTTTAAAGATTTTTCCCTTCTTTTTCCATTATAAACATTTTCTCTTCTTGTGGCGGAAACCTATCCAAGGGGAACATGATTTGAACGAACTTGAATCTACACTTCCAAAAATGTTTCCATATTTAATTAATAAGATTAACCATGGTTCTGCTGTTCTTGAGAAGGAAATTCTTAAAATTTCCCCCTATACATTCCTATAAATGTTTATCCCAATTGAGACCCCATTTTCTGAAGGGGAGCATGGTTAGTGGATGCTTGAAGATCTGTCAACTAATCATTACTCGTGCTCCGCTGTTCTTGAGAAGATTAAATTTCTAACAAAAATCCTACATGTTCTCTATAAAACTTTGATCCTTTATTGTGACCCCACCCTATCCCCGGGGCGTTGAGTAGGGAAAAAATCTTGATTCTGCACTTCTTACGGATGCTTCCATATTAATATGACTAATAATCAATGATCTGCTGTTCTTGAGAAGACGATTTTGAAAAAAAACTTCCTGTGTACTAGTATTTCCACGTAAACTTTGATCCTCCTCTGTGGCTCCACACTATCCCCGGGGATCTTGAATCTACACTACCTGAGGATGCTTCCATATAAATGGCTTTGCTGTTCATGAGAAGAATATCTTTTTAAAGATTTTCATGCCCCACCATGAATATGGCCGGGACATATAGTGTTTGTCATGTCCGTCTTCCGTCCTTCTGTCCTTCCGTCACACTTTGCGTTTAGCTCTGTTCAAAGCTCAATTTCAAAGAAACTATCCAAGATATTTTTATCAAACTTCACATGCTGATAGATATTGATGAGAGCTATGCAACTGCATCAACATTTTTTGACCTTGACCTTTCCTTTGACCTTGACCTCACTTTTCTTAAATTAGTGTTTAGCTCAGTTTTAAAGATACCATTCAAGATAGTGTAATCAAACTTCATATGCTGATACATACTGATGTAAGTTATTCAACTGCATCAACATGTTTGGACCTTGACCTTTCTTTTGACCTTGACCTCACTTTTCTTGAATTAGTGTTTAGCTCAGTTTTTATGAAACCATTCAAGATATTTTTAACAAACTTCATATGCTGATATGTACTGATGAGAGCTATTCAACTGCATCAATATTTTTTTACCTTGACATTTCCTTTGACCTTGACCTCACTTTTCTTAAGTAAGTTTTTAGCTCAGTTTTAAAGATACTATTCAAGATAGTGTTATCAAACTTCATATGCTGATACATACCGATGAGAGCTATTCAACTGCATCAACTTTTTTTGACCTTGACCTTTCCTTTGTCCTTGACCTCACTTTTCTTAAATTAGTGTCAAACTTCATATGCTGATACATACTGATGAGAGCTATTCAGCTGCATCAATATTTTTCCCCCTTGACCTTTCCTTTGATCTTGACCTCACTTTTCTTAAATTAGCGTTTAGCTCATTTTAAAGAAACCATTCATAATATTTTTTTATTAAACTTCATAGGCTAATACATACTGATGTAACCTTTTCAACTGCAACAACAATTTTTGACCTTGACCTTTCTTTTGACCTTGATCTCACTTTTCTTAAATTAGTGTCAAACTTCATATGCTGATACATACTGATGTAAGCTTTTCAGCTGCATCAATATTTTTTCACCTTGACCTTTCCTTTGACCTTGACCTCACCTTTCTCAATTTTTGTTAAAATGTTGCATTACTAATATACCCTCGGCGGGGCATTCATGTCCTATGGACATATTTCTAGTTTCTACATATTCCTATTCAAAACTTTGATGGCCCACTGTGGTCCCACCCTATCGATATGAACAAACTTGAATCTGCAATACCTGATGATGCTTCCCTGTAAACGGCTTTGCTGTTCGTGAGAAGAATATTTTTTTAAAGATTTTTCCTACATATTCCTATGTAAAACTTTGATGGCCCATTGTGGCCTCTCCCTATCTCTGGGGGTCAAAATTTGAATAAATTTGAATCTGCACTAACTGAGGATGCTTCCATATAAATATGATTATTTTCAATGTTTTCCAAAAAATTTGATTGCCCATTGTGGTCCCACCCTATATCTGGGGTTCATGATTTGAACAAGCTAGAATCTACACCACCTGAGGATGCTTCCATATAAATATGATTAATCAGGCTTTTGCTGTTTTTGAGAAGATTTTTAAAGATGTCCAGTCAAGGCCCTGCATTTCTTGAGATTTTCTCAGATTTTTCATATATACTCACATATAAAACTTTGATGACTCATTGTGGCCCCACCCTTATCCTTAAATAAATGTAAATCTTCACTATTTCAGAAAGCTTTCATATAAGTTTTAACTTTTCTGGCTCACTGGTTCTTGAGAAGATATTTGACAGCGCCTTATTTTTGCCTTTTCTTGATTATCTCCCCTTGGAAGGGGACTGTGTTCTTCATTTAAAGAAACTTAAATCCCTGTCACACAAGGATACTTTGTGGCACATTTGATTGAAATTGGTCAAGTGGTTCTTGAGAATAAGATGACATTGTGAAAACTTTATGCACAACGCACACTCGCACGACGGTGGACATGCAGAAACGGATAGCAACAGGTCACTTGAGTGACTCAGGTGACCTTAAAAGAAAACACTGACAATATCCTTTATCTTCACTTTATTGAGAACAAATTACTCATTAACAAGCAACAAAAAAACAAAGGTCATTGCATAAAACAATTCACTACAGGATCACAGGTATTCAAGCTCCATTATACACAAAATGAACGGGAGATAACTCTATAGCATCGAGCGGTTAATGAACAAAGCGATTCATGCAGAAAGATTAAATGATTTACATGTGTGCACATGCATGGTGATCTGAACAAAGCTACGACATGTTAAAATTTTGGCATAACAAAAATTACAATTGGTACCTCAAAAGGTATTCAAATTCTATATTGCGCAAAGATGACCTCCTATATCAATCAACGTTTCTTCAACACGTAACAAGATGGAGTTAAATATGATTAAAAGATACAGTAAATTTCCATATATTATCGTTATATCCACAAAACTCCTCCCAATGACTGCACTAAAATATAAAAAAAAATCTTTTAAAATTGCTTAACCAATTACGGATTTAGCAGCATAAAATACCATCGTTATTCTATTACATGTACGTTAACAAACATACACGTGCATGAATCTATGACGAGCAGAACGTTGTACAGTGGAAATGAATATGGATTTAACAATATATTTTATGTTTTTGATACAACATTAGAAAATGCATATCTAATCTTCTTCTACAAAAATACTATTTCAGAAATACTATTTCAGAAAAATACTTTTATTCTCCAAAGTCATTTCTCTTGAGGTCCTGCAGATACTGAGAAATGTCTTAGATATTCACCTTACTTTTACTGTCCAGGAAAAATATCAGAAAAAAGTGTTACAAACAATAAATTTTGCTTGAAAGCTTAAACGTACACTGGTAACAATTCAAATTATTAAAAATGTAATCCTGAAATACATGAACAATCTTCAAAAATAACTTCATTTTGGCTAAGAGGTTACAAGATTACTGGTAAGCTGAATTGTTTTTCATCTCAACTATGTACGACAATTTTCAAATGCGACAAAGCACTTCAATATTATGTACATAAATGATGTAAAAATGACATGCACTCAATCAAGAGTTCCCTGTAGCTTATGTATAAATAAATAAACAGTAGGATGTTAAATGATATAATACACAATAAGCAGATCTCGTATTAAGCAATTAGCATTGATTTTTTACATTTACAGATCAGTATCATTTCCGTTATTCTGTCTCTTCAGTTCTATATTAAATCGTGATTTCCGAAGCTGGTGACTATAAGGCTGGACTAGATTAGATCACCCGTATGTTGTTGTCTGAGATCGATGAGGGTAGTCTCAAAATCAATGTTTGCTATCCTAAAAAGACGATTTGTTTTTCTCTACATACTGTCTAAATTTCTAATGAAAAATGAATACTGTTGTGTTAACAAATAGAAGAATTAATACAGATATCATCATATCTGGAATTATAGCCTTCGATCCAAAACAACCTTGTAGAGACCGAGGGGTTTGCAAAATTAAAATTCCTTTTAAGGTTCATTCCTCTGTTTATTTATAAAATTTGCTTAAAAGCTGCCGATTTTCCAAAAGAAATCAGATTTATACTTAAAATGCACACACTTTCAACATACTTTGCTTGGCAATTTTGACAGAAAATAGCCTTCAAAGTCAACAGTTTCATAAAGGAATAATAGTCATTTATCCAAGTGAGAGTTATTCCTCTTATCAGAGGGTCGATGAACCTTAAAATCCACTTCATACAACATGCTGTATATGTATTGTCTTCATGCATACGTATATGAGGATACATGTGCATATTTTACATAATTATGGCTTTCTCTTACTAGAGGTACTTACAGCGTAAAAAGGCATGCACAATATATTCTTCTTTGGTAGTGGTCACAACACTTCAAAATGGGGTGATTCGAGTCATCTCGAAAAGTAATGCTTTTTGACATCAAATGAACACATAAACAATTCTCACAAAAAAACACCGGCACTGAAATTGAAACAAACCCCCGTCACACGAAAACTTAAACAAATTCGTGTGTCTCTACTGAAGATATCCACAGATTAATTGTTAGACACGTATAATCTCATTTAACATTTTAGAGTCGAAAAGATGGTCCCTAGCTTCTAGTATACCAGTAAAAAAGCAACATCTTAAAAGTTCACGGGGGAGTCTGAAGAAATTGGTCAGGGAGTGTATAACAGCATAAAAATATGTTTATCACAATATGTTTCTTAAAAGTATATCTTTTACTACATGTATGATATTCATGTACATGCAATTACACAGATATGCAAGTTCATTGGTTTCTTGAGTGTTCATCGCATATCGCATCTTTGACCCCAAAAATTTCAGTTCCAAGTGATTGACTCAATTATATATCACAGCTATTTATAAATGTACCACACTTGAAAACAAGTTGTTAAAATATACAAAGAGAATGTTCCACTCAAAATCTTTCATTCTCAGTATATACAGCACTAACAAATGTACAGAAGGAGAGAAAATGCAGCAATCCACTGAATTATGTCTGACTAGAAACATCGAGTAGCTTAAAAGTGCAGCCTGTAGCTCAAGATTGGGAAAAAACTCTTGAGTTATTAAGTACAATTATACCTTGTTTTACATGCGTATTGCAGTTTTAAAATTTGTAAGGAAAAATGTATATTTATAACTCTCTGCATCACCAAATATACTCTTCGGTGAACTTAAATAAATACAATTATACCAACAATTCCGACTAGCACTATTTTTTTATATTCACATAGATAACGTCCAAATAAAATTATATCTCCATTTGTTTTTATACCTATTGCCGTTCGTTCAGAACGAAGTCCTCGATTGTTTCATGCAAATTCTGGTTGGTACTGTAAGTACTGTATAAGCCTTGCCGGTAGGGGCAGCTTTGGTATCATATCCGGTGGGAAAACTTGAGCGATTCTTACCCTACATCTGTTTTGCAAAGAACCTATTGTAGGTAGCTTGTAAATCTGCAAGTGATCTACGCTAGAATCGGCCTCATTCAAGACGATGGCCATCCGACTTCCACAATTAGAGAAAACTGGCAGATAGTTTATTGGACAAGAATGAGTTCCGCACGTGTAACGGCTATATTGCACACATCGCAATGTTTGGACATTATCCGAATTAAATATATAAACACTGATGTCAATTGGCGGATAACGTCTAGCTTTTCTTTCTCTACAATGACAACCATCGGTAACCATGACTGCAAAAATCAGATTGCCATCTTTGGAATAAAATAAATCCTTTAACGTTGGATGAAGAGTCCATCTTGTGTCGTCCAGTCTTGGATTTGTGGCAAGGACCTCCCAGTTTGAGGTCTGAACCAAGCTGAGACTGTTCTCTTCGCCTTTCTGAAAGCTTGTCGCTGCAATGCGCGATGAACTGAACCGGGGATCAAAAGCAAAGAGGCTCCGGTGGAATGAAAGGACTACCTCTCGGAGCATTTGCCGGGTTTTCATATCATACATCTGATACACAAAAGCACTGCTATCATCACTCTTAATGCTGGGGATTTTTAAAATGCAAAAGTTTCCATCGGGACTTATTTGTCCTCTTAATGCTTCATTTACAAATTCAACCGTTTGTTTTCCAAACACACCAATGAATTTATTGTCACTTAAATTTATGATGCCAAATTGCGTCATCATATTCCGTACAAGATGCAAAATGACAGTTCGTTCATGATAGCACAGGACACTTTTCACATGAAAGTTTTGAATGGACGACAATTGCGCAGGAATATGATTGTATTCAAAATGTTCCGCCATTTTTGTGAATTTGTTTTTGCGGCGGAAGCTGAAAACAGAGCTTGATTTGTTAATATTGATGATGCCTTGCCTATTCATACAGAAAGTAGGACTGCAGTCTTTGAAAACGACCCCGCTACACGTCATCGAAGTTTCGCTGAACCCTGCTGCCTCTGGATTAAAAAATATAAACAAATTTTCCCATATATTTTTTCAGGAATATTTCAAATTTCAATATACATATTTCTTTAAAAAAATTAAAAAATGATCTTGTTTATACGTGGAATTTAAAGTTTAATTAAATCTCTGGGTGCTGTATATCGTGGATTTTTTTCCTTCTATATTTGCTCTAGACATCTAGTCTCAAGATAAGTCACTCCACAAGATGGACAGAAAAAGACAATCCAAATAAGGAAAGAAATTTATACAATGAAGCATGGCTAAAAATCTGAAATTTAGGCTGTGGAAGTTGTACCTCAATGAGCTACAGTCTCGCTGCATAATACTAGTACATAATAATAATACAGGAACAAGGAAGATTAACCTATACAAAGATAGATAACTCATCAGGAAGTCAAAGAAATCCATCTACTCCCCCCCCCCTCCATTCCCCCTCAAATCCAAGAAAACAAAATATTGGCAACTGATAACTGTTTTTTGGATGTTGCTAAGATGGCCCCAGGTGAACATTCCATGGCCTGGTTGAAATGAGAGAGTTACTGTCCTACTAATCTGGACAAAATTTTTTTTTAATTTAAATAAATAAATAGGATTATGGATTTACTGGAAAATAACTTGTTTCAAAAAGTAGTAACACTTCTTCCGGACCACAAGAGGATTATTAATGCTCAATTTGCTGATTTAATTGCTGTCAATCTGAAGAAGTTGACAGTCTGAAATCTTAGAGGAAGGACATACAATTTACTAGGAATACATGAAGCCAACAAATTAACCTCAAACAGAATATCTCACTTGAATGGTGAAGCTCAGATAAGTGAAAATAAGATTTTTACCAAATTGCAATAAAAGGAATATTTTAAAACTACATGAAAGAAACAAATTGGGAAGCGGAATTGTAATAAAATCTAAGTATTAATCAAAATGGCTTTTACAAATGTAACTCTGTCAACTTTTGGAAATTTATTTATCAATTTGACCTATTCTTCATAATTTTCTCTTTGCAATTTTGTCACATAAAAAAAAAAAATCCAGGATTCTTCTCTCCTGAGTTATGTTCCCTGTCATATACATAGCTCATCAACAGTAAGCTGCAGTAAGTCCGAGATTTTTCCAATGAAAATGCATCTGCAAAAGCTTTTAACTCATTTGTAGCCTTCAGAAAATATGAGACTGTTACTGTCATTTAGGACTAGTGAAAAGTCAGCAGGGATTGGTTAACCAAGAAAGACGTCCAACTCCATTGATTTCTCTTAACATTGTATATCCTCCACACTCCTTACTGTCATACAAGAATCAAACCCAACATTGGCCTTCATTCAAAAGATCAATGACTCCATTGTCTAAAGGCCAAAGAAGTGGCTCCATTTGCAGAAAAGGTTAATTATTTTAGGTATTGGTAAGGAAAAGGTTGCAGAAATGGGGATGAGGCCGATGAGCAATATTTTTTATTTAAGAATGTGTCTATTATTTTGTGTAAGTTACATGTAAAATAAGATTTAAAGGATGAGAGTTTTTAAACTTTTCAGAAATTTAGAAATTTAAATCCAAATACAATCACATATAATTGTATCTTTTAAAATTATTTATATAAAAAATATTAATTTTTTTTAAAGTTATTTAAATAAAGACATTATTTTTTTTAAAAAAAATTTAAGTATATACCTGCATGTCCACTTTTCCACTGGTCAAGTGAGCACATGTGGAGCAGTGACCAAGACCTGGCTGCTGTAGCCTGCTTGTTCATGTTGGACTCCACAGATGTGGCCCCCATTAATCCATAATTGCCTCCCTTGCTTTCTTCTGCCCCCATGTTCTGCAATAACTAAAACCTTTAACTTCCTGCCAGCAAACTGCTAATAAAAACAATTCATCTTGAACTTAAGTGAGATAAATTCTGGAGCAGACTGGAATTCACATCACTGGAGAAACTGTTTATACTTTGAATTCCCACATTACCTCCTCTGTGCGTATTTAACCACCCCAAACATAATTTAAAATAGATGTATTATTTTTTTTGATATATATTTGAAAACTGAGAAGCTTAATTGCTAAAATATGACATCAAAAGACAAATGCTTTATCCTCATTAAAAAATGGGAAGAATTAATGGGCCTCAAGATGATACATAATAATGCTGTCATTGCATTCTCTGAAGTGAAGAGTAACAAAAGTTTCTCTGTAACTACATTTTTGTATGTGGCCTGACTTCAGAGTACATGAGGAATTATTGCTTCTAATTGGAAATTCTATCTTGTAACATGCACTTTAAACTTTGACTTGACTGAACAATGATATACTAAACTGAAGTTTAGGGAAATAATACTTGATTTTTAATCATTTGAATCTTAAATTACTATATATTTAAATCTGGAAATTTCTAAAAATGACACGATTTTGCTTTTAAAGGGAATTAATCAAGTACCAGCTATGTGCCTGCATTAGAACAAATACTGGAAATTAATTTGATTTGAATTTGATTTAAAAAAAAAAACTAACAGACTAACTGAAATGTTGATGCTTCATTAGTTTTGCAAGGACTGAATTATATAAGTGTTTAACTTGACATTTTTTTTTAATTTTAACTCTGCATGTAGACAATTTTTTTTTTCCATTATGAGGACAATTTACAGTAGGGATAGACAAACAAGAGGCCCAGGGGCCACATCGCTTACCTAAGCACATTGGCTATCAGTTCAGTTCAGAAAAGGATGAATCTTAAATTATTGAGGATGCTTTCATATCAATATAACAAATGGCTTTGCTGTTCTTTAGCAGAAGATTTTTAAAGTTTATTCCTTTGTAAAAATTTGATCCCACATTGTGGCCCCTCCCAACCCCTGGTGGTCATCATTTGAACAAACTTGAATCTACACTACCTGAGGATTTTTCCATACCAATATGACTAGCCATGGCTTTTTTGTTCTTGAAAAGAAGATTTTTTTCCTATGTAAAACTTTGATCCCCCATTGTGGCCCCACCCTACCCCCGGGGTTATGAATTGAACAAAATTGAATCTACACTACCTGAGGATGTTTCCATATCAATGTGACTAAACATGGCTTTTCTGTTTCTTGAGAAGATTTTAAGTTTTTTCCCTATATATTTCTATGTAAAACTTTGATCCCTCACTATGGCCCCACCCTTCCCCATGGGGTCATGTTTTGAACAAACTTGAATTTACACTACCTGAGGATGCTTCTATCTCAATATGACTAAACACGGGTTTGCTGTTCTTGAGAAGAAAACTTTTAATTAAAGATTTTTTCTATATATTCCTTTCTAAAACTTTGATCCCCAATTGTGACCCCACCCTACCCCTGGGGTCATGATATGAACAAACTTGAATCTACACTACCTGAGGATGCTTCCGTATCGATATGACTTAACATGGCTTTGCTGTTGAAAAGAAGATTTTTTTCCTATATATTCCTATGTAAAATTTTGATTCCCTATTTTGACGCCACTCTACCCCTAGGGGTCATCATTTGAACAAATTTGAATCTACACTATGTAAAGAAGACTTCCTACAGTCCCTGAAACGTTCTACTTTCCCATTTTTCCGTTCGCTCACCGTTCGTTCACCGTTCGTTCAG